TAGAATGCTCGAAACCCAATAGTGGTATTAGAGCCTAGGCTTGTTTTCTTATTATACTTGCAAAATTGGCTGAAAAATCAAAGTTTGTTGTTGTCAGCTCAGCAAACTTGCCAAGTCCATGAAGGGACTCGACGAGTCTAAGGCTAAACTCATCCAACTCGCCAAGTTGGTTCATGCACTCGATGAGTTGGACCCCCAGACATCATATCATCGATTGTTTTGGCTGGAATTGGACTAGGAACATTACCCTAAGCTGTTTTTCAACTTATAAACCTGTTTTTTTCATGTGGTAATGTGTATGCTAATCCAATTTCAAATATAATTATCAATAGATTCATGTGTTGTATTAGTTTAATGGTTATGTAAATTTCATGAAATTTTTTGATTTGAATTATTTTGTTCTTATGAGTTTCTTAGATTAATAGAAAAGTTATGTGAAATTGTTGTTTTCAATCCAAATTAATATAAGAGTTGGTTCTAAAATGTGTTTTTGTAACTTGTCCTTAAGTTATATGAAAAGTCACATTTAAGATTCATAAAACTCATAAATATTTCCATAGGTTATGAATAATGAAAATTCACATTCTTTTAATGGTTTAAAGTCTTCCATAACTTGTCCTCAAGTTATGGAACTTGAAGAGTTTTTTTTTTTTTTTTTTTTTTTTTTTTTTTTTTTTTTTTTTAAATTAAAACTACTTTAAACTCATAAGTTATGGAATTGAATAGTTTTTGAATTGTTCAAAACTTTCCCTCAAGTTTTGGAATTTGTAATGTTTCACCTCATAATACTTTAATTCCAAGTTAAGCCCTAATAAGTTTAAAAGTTAAGATTCAACCCTTATACTTTATAGTATTATAAGTTAAGAATATATATGTATAAGAGCAAGTTAGTATTATCGTTAGTAAGCCTCATTCATGAAGCTGGTCTATAAGGGGGGTATAAGGTTGAAACCTATAAAATGGCAGTTTAATGGGTGTCCACTCTCACCCACCGCTTCTTTGACTGACGGAGGGTCGTTAGCTGAACGGGTAGGACAACGACTAGAATTCTCACTTCATTAAAAGTATTAATAATAATTACTAAGTAACTAAACCTTTTATAATCCCCAATCTTAGTTACTTAGGAAAATGTGAAATTGGTGCTAACCCAAATTACAGTTTGCACTTTGCTTAAGTCGGTTAGTGGAGTGCGTGTGGGTAACCGGCACACTAGCTAGATTTAATAAGGTAGGAAAAGGGTAACTTAATGTTTATCATAGTATCGGTGGAGCACGTGTGGTTAATCGGCACATTGATTGAGGGGTAAATATCAAGGGTACCAAGTATATTTGCATGGTTATTCACACATTGTTTTGTGATCCTCGACATCCCAGTCACAAAACGTGAGAGGACACAATCGACATTGAAACATGCAATTGAAAAGTTCAATGAATCTCAAAAGACCTAGGAGTTTCAAATCTAATTAAAACCAAATATATTATTTCATTTTTCAAGGTGGAAATTGGTGAATCGTCATTCACCTACCTTCAAATATTTTATAGCTTGGATTACGACATCCCTCTTCCAATTTATAAAAGTATTTTGTTGGGTCCTAGCCTTAATATTTCATATTGGGTGTTATATTAAGGACTTTAAATCAACTATCTTGAATATCTCCCAAAAGATGTCTGGTTCAAACATCTATGATCTTCCTAAAAACTCTTGGAACAAGCTTTCCAAATAAAGATGATGTTCCATGGCTGGTTCATGGAAATCATACTTCTTTTCTTTCACATCCTCCAATTATTCTCCCTAACATACAAGTTATTGAAAAGTTTAAGGTAACTCAAGCCCTATTGGCAAGCAAGGTATATGTGTGATCGCATCTTGGAGATGAAGTCACATATTGACAAGCCGAGAGAGTTGGGTGTCAAAGTCTAATGAAAGTTGGATGTTCAATCACTTTCTAAGTCACATAACGAGTTCCTTTGGAACTACTATCAAATAGAGTATGACATGACCCTTAATAATCTTATTTATTTGCTTGGTGCTGCTAAATCAGAAATGATTTGGTGGACTAGTAAATAAAATTTGATTAGAAGATCAACTTCCCAAACTTCTACGGACATTGTCAATGATAATATTAGAGATCCAGAAAAAGCTTTCTCTTCCCAATGGAAAGGGATCAGCCACAGTCAACTCGGTTGACCAAATGGTAAAGAGAAAGGCTAAGTCTGCGATAGTCCCATGTACCATTCCCAAAGAGTCCATATGTTTCTCTTGCCAAAGGAAGGGCCATTGATTGCGAAGCTACCAAATTTACCTGAAAGATCATAAGGCTAGTAAAGTCAATATGTTTGATTCTACTTCAGGTAAAGTCCATTGTCTAACTCTATTAAGTTCCTATTTGGAGATCCTTATTACATGATGTGACTGGGTCACATGTTGATGTTTTAAGAATCAAAGAAAAAGAGAGGAAGCTTAAAGGAAGTATATGCTGACTTTAATCATGAAGATGGATTTCGATCGCATGGTTCGGTGATCAGAATTTTGTGATGTTACTTAGTAGTTATGATATATTGCTTAGGAAAAGATAATAACAAGTCTTTCATATGCATTTGCATTGTAAGGATAAGTTTTTCATCAAGTTTTAAAATAAAAGGGTTTTTTTTTTTTAATTTTATTTATTTTAAATATCCTTACAGTGGCATTTGTGAAAAAATTGTTGTTTATATGATTCCATTGATATCAATAGTAGAAATAGGAATGTGATTCGTTCCTTTGTGTTAGTGTCTTAATTTATCAAATAAGTAAAGATTCTCATCACCCAAGTTTCAATTGGACCAAAACTTGGAATCATGCAAGTTGTATAGTATGATGAATGAGAATTTTCATCTTTGGAAAATTAAGACTATTTCCTTGTTCACATGTATATGTGAGTAAAGTAAAGGACTAAGGGATTGAGTACACATTCTTATGCACTGATCAAGTCCACCACAAAAGATCTATAAGACTATTCGTCATGATTTACTAAAGTTTAGTAATTGTGGTTATACTTACAAGTTTAAGTATAATTCTGAACCATTGGAAAAGTTTCGATGTATGGCAGAACGAATGAGAAGAATCAAATTAGGCACAAAGATAAAAGTTTCTCAAATCTGAAAAGATGGGAGAGTACATTAGTATCATGTTTTGTGATCATCTTAATGATTAAGAAACCATATCACAATTGGTTCTCTAAGGACATATTAATGCATTCCTATGGATAATAAGAGGAGTCATGAATTGTTGAGATGGTTAAATCAAGAAGATGAGTCATACTTCGTTTTAAAATAAGTCTTAGAGTCATAATCCAAGATTGTAATTTGAGTGACACATCTTAAAGAAGGTTTATTAGTACTAGTCAAATGTAAGAGTAAAATATGTTCTACTCTTGTACATTTGAAATTGGTAAGTTGTGATGTTTTGGTTAAAACAAAGGCCAACTAAGGCCAATTGTATGAAGTGTTTGTCTTGATAAGGAATCCGTACTATCTCTTGACTATTTGACAATTGAATCTTATATGTCAAGTGGACACTGGGAGTCTTAATGGTCTTGAAAAAAATTCAAGAACTAATCAAGAATAAAAACATGTAGTTTATCACTTGGACACGACTTGATGTTGTAACCTATCGTGTTGACACATTTTTATTTCTATGCCCATTCTAGTTAAAGTTGGCTTTGCATATGAGTTATAAAAAGTTCTCAATTGGTTGCATAACAACTTGGAAGCAATGGAAGGACCTTGTGCTGCTAGGTGGCAAGAAATTAAGATTGAGTTCAGTCTACATGAGTTTGGATTTGTCATTATCCTTGTCTTGTGATTATGGTTTTGACAAATTCACATGGATAAGAACACATACACCATAAAATCTAAGTGTCATAAGGTTTCTATCTGATTCATGAAAATGATGGTGAGGAAACACTTTCACTAAGTAGATTTTAGGTAGATAGCAAGTGTGATATTTGCATTCTCAAAGTCGTTGGTGGAGCGTGTGTGGTTAACCGGCACACTATGTACATGTGAGAAATGGAAAATGTCTAAACAATTGAGACTATGATTATGACATCCCTTTTCATAGTTCTAAAAATTGTTTAGACACACATATGAGCTATATAAGGAAAGGTGTGTGATTTTGATAAAGTCTTATCAAAACATCTCGTATCAAAAATCTGAACTTTGGTAAGAAAGTTAATAAAGTATTGATTTCTGGAAGTCCAGCTGATTTCTGAGTACATGCCAAAGCTAGTGGGAGCATAAGTGTTATGCTAATAATCATCATGTTAGTGGGAGCATGATAATTATTATTATTATTATTCCAAGTTAGCAATGTTAATTATAGAAAATAAAAGTTTCAATTCGTGAAGTTGCAGTGGTTGAAAAGTTGTTTTGCTATAATTAAGGGAGAGGAAATTATACTTCATTTCAATTCTAAAAGCTTAGATCACTACTAGAAAATTAGCCTTTTACGACGTGCTAACAATGACACGCGCTATTTTATGATACGTAATAGTGTGTGCCCTAAAAATAATGTCAGCTGTCCAAAAATTAGAAGAATTTTGGGCACGCATTTTTACGCGCCCTAAAATAAGTGTCACATTGAAAAAAAAACACGGAGGGCACATAACATAAGATGTGCGTCCTCTAAGTATGTCACTTTATATTTTTTTTTAATGAAACGCGGGTCTCTTTTTTGGGGGAAATGAAATTCCCAAAACTTTGAAAGGGCCGCCATGTTATTCCCTTTTTTCCACCATTCTTCTCTCTTACTCAAATACCCAAAAAAAACCTAATATACTGATCACTCCTCTTTTCTCCCTCAGCAAACTCGCACCATCACCAAATCTTTTCGCCATCATGAATTCCTGACTTTTGCTGATTCTAGGAACCAACATCCTCTGTTCGTAACACCGGAATACATCCTTCAAGCCGCCAGAATCGAGTTCGGATCCAACTACCCTCACCCGATTGTGAAAATATATGAGGCAAAATCCCGATTACAAGAAGGGCTTACTCAAATGTGGCAGCATGAAGCATCTTCTCGAGGGATCTGGAAAACAGGATAGAAGAAGGGCTTGGAGACTCATCGTAAGCTGCTCCGAATGCTTTCCCTCAAGATATAGAGATGGAGATGGACGAGAATACACTGAGGATAAACCCTACCACCACCACGATTTTTCATTACGAAGACCAATTACGAAGGGCTTGGTGAAGATAGGTCTTATTTGCAGAGGCGTACGTAATCTCGTCATTTAATCAACAACTGGAGGCGGCTTTCGCAAACAGGGTAAGTGTTATGATCTGGAGGCGATATTATATGATGAAATCCATGGAGATTATCACATGCTTTAACACTTTTATTTTCCTAGTGTGTATGTGACTGCGATGACAGGAAAATAATGTTTATTAAGGTTGAAAATATACTCAAAAGACAAATCAAGGTTTTGACAATGTTACATTTTTAGCCGTTTGGTCTTGTTATGAACTCTAGTCATCTTTATTTTCTGATTTATTGCTTATTTGGTTTCTAATTATATATATATATATATATATATATATATATATATATATATATATATATATATATATATATATATGGTATATGTTTATGTAGGTTGATGCTCACAGCAAGCTTGGGAACTTGATGAAGGCTCAAGGATTGTTTCAAGAAGTAAGAAAACTTAATGCATATGTTTAGTTATCACATTTCCCTTTGTTCCATTGACACTTACATGAACATGTCATGCATCCCCTTCCTCTAAATAATGCATAGTTTTGACTTTCGAAGAAGTGTTGAAGGTCCTCTTTGGTATTGATTTTTCTAACTCTTATGTGTCTGGTGTTAATTAGTCTTAGACAGTTCCTGATCACTTTCCCACTTTGTCATTTGGACTTCAGTGGCTTACAATACAATGATCCAGGCGCAAAAGTGGACTTAAGTTTTGTCTCTCTATATATGTCTTGTATTATTCTGATGAATTTACTCTCATTGTGGATCTTGTTTATTGCAGGAGGCAGTCAAACTTAAGCCAACATTTTCTTATGTCTATTTAAACTTGGGAAATGTAAACAAGGTGAATACTCCATTGTTTTTCTGATAATTCTTGGTAGATATTAACACAAGGAGATTTTTTTTCTTTCTAAATTTTTTTTTCTTTGCATTTTATAGGCTCTGGGAATGGCTACAGAAGCTATTGTATGTTACGAGCGTGCTCTTCAATCTAAACCAGACTATGCCATGGCTTTTGGTTAGTAATAGTAATAGTATCATGTTTTGTTTCTATCTTTTACATGAACCAACTATTTGACTCTTATTAAGCTGACTTTTACATTGTTCAGGGAATTTGACTAGCATATATTATGAGCAAGGTAACTTGGAGATGACAATTAACCATTATAAGCAGGTTATAGGTCGTGATGCTGGATTTTTGGGTGCATATAATAATCTCGTGAGTTTTTCATTCTTTTCTATAATCAATTTTTTGTGTGTTCATCCTTTTGATAATAAACTTTTCACTAGGGAAATACACTTAAGGATGTTGGAAAGGTTGTTATTTTTGCATTTAGGTGTGCTAAAAAGAGTTGATTGATGATTGAACAAACAAGGGAATTATGTGGATGTTATTTTCTTTTTATCTTTTTTTTTTAATTTTTTTTAAATCTCCTTTTTACTAGATGCTTAAATGTTAAAATCGATTGGTATCTTACAGTTTGTCTTCCGTACTCGCTTTCCTCATATTTTCTTTTTATCTCTCTTTGTGAATGATTACAAGCAGGTAAAGGTGTAAATGAAGTTTGATTAATTTGTTTTTGTTAATGGTTGGGTGCAGAAAAACCTTGATGTGATGGATGTAAACTGCCAGCCTAAGCGTTCAGCTTACGGATTGCCTGAAAACAAGTTCATATTTGCTTGTTTTAATCAGCTTTACAAGATGGATCCTGAAATTGTTATCACCTGGTAACATTAAAGATATAATCTCAACTTTTGTTGACACACATTATATATTATAGTAACATTGACATAATGTTTGTTGTTTGTTTGTTTCAGGTGCAATATTTTAAAGCGTGTTCCCAATAGTGCCCTTTGACTTCTCAGGTTCCCTGCTGCTGGTGAAATGAGACTTCGTGCCTGTATGTCATTTTTAATCCTCTTATTATATCAAACTATACCCAGTTATAATCCTTTTTCTTACATGTTTTTGGGTATTGTGTAGATGCTGCTGCACAGGGTGTGCAACCAGACCATGTTATTTTCACTGATGTTGCTTTGAAGAACGAACACATCAGAATTTGTTACATAGTGCTATTATTGGTAAAGAAATGTTGCTATTTCTAGCAATGTGCCCTTTAAAATTCTTGTAAATAAACATTACGATTTACCCTTTTACACATTTCATAGTTATGTGCATGGATGTCCTCTATTCAAAAGCTCAAGTGCATTTAAAACCCAAGAAGCTGCAGAAAAGATAGCAGCTGCCCTTGGGATTTAACTTTCTTAGTGTAGATGAGGTAAAATAGTTTTTTTTCATCTTTTTCCTTCCTGCACATTTTTCCCTAATTACCAAGAAATAACTTGATGTATATTTATACTGTTATTATTTGCACATTAGTTAAATTTTTATTGTTGTTATTTATACATTTGTTAGATTTTTATTGATGTGTATTTTCTTTTACAATTCAAGAGCTTCAGACAACAGTAAAAGTAATTCAAGTAACAGTGAAGTTGTGATCAATGGACATGATAGGAGTGCTCTACCCACTATCAAACAAGTTGTTCCTAGTTCTAGGTATGTATAGGGGTAAAATAGTAATTTTCTATGTATGGAGATTTTTTTACCATTTTTTATTTTATAAATAGTATTATTCAAAAATCTGGATCTTGCACTAGAAGTGTTGAGTGATGTTCTTGATATAGAAGTGTTGGGGTGAATTTTCTGATTGGTATGTGTTTTTGATACTAATACCATATGTTCATATATATATATATATATATATATATATATATATATATATATATATATATATATATATATATATATATATATATATATATATATATATATATTGTATTGTCTTTTTTATTTTTATATTTCCTTTTAGTTACTTATTGTAGAAACCAAACAAGGTGTAGTAAACAAGGTACTAATACCATATGTTCCTGATTGATTGTTTTCCTTTTGTGTGAATGCGGTCAGTTTCTCCAGAATTAGTAGTGTCGCGACTTAGAGCTTGCTGTTCCTAGAACTTATTATACAGGTATAATAATAATATTATATTATAGATGTTTTGAATGATGAGTAATATAATTTATTAATTATACATACATGTTTATCTATCTGGTTAGTCATCTTCTTCTTGAAATATGTGGTTAGTCAGTCTCTGGATATGTATAGAAAGAAATTTTTTAATATGTATAAGGATAAACGTGTAATTGTTTGGTTGGTTTTCTTTTCTGATTTGAACAGCTAGACACTCTCTTGTATATATATGATTCAAATTGTTTTGCATCAAAGTTATCTTCTACTTTATAATTTATATTGATTGATACAAAATCATGTATTTCAGGGTGGATTCGCGGGAAGGATCCATCAAGAGTTGTACACTATGAATATTGGGAAGCAATCAATAGCACATTTGGTCTACAAGGAGGGTTTATTTGGGATTGGGTTGACCAGGTTTGAAACTCATCTCTTAAATTTTATAAAATTGTAAATGTGGTGCAAGGGTAGCTATAAATATTTGCATTTGGTTTCAGGGGTTACTCAAGGAAAATGCAAATGGTAGCAAATACTGGGCATATGGAGGTGACTTTGGAGATACACCAAATGGCCTGATCGGACTCCTCATCCTGCTCTAAATGGTGATTACTATATTTTTTTTGCTTAGTATTTAGGTTTTTGTTTAGTTATTTCCAACAAAAATGTTTCCAGTTGTGCTTTCTATATAGCAAATGTTAACCTTGGTCTTTGTGTTTTTTGTTCATAGATTACAAACACCAATTTCTTTCAAACAACAAAAGATCTAGAGTTTAATTGGGTGATTGAAGGTGATGGATGCAAAAGTAAACACACAGAGAGTTGTTGGCACATAGTAAGCTAGATGATGCAATTGTATATAAATGACTTCATTTTTTTTATAACATTTACTCACTTTTGGAATAATTATTTGTATTTTGACATATTAGTGAATTGAATTATCTTTGTTATTTATGGTATTTTATTTTGTATTATGAGATTTTTAATGTATTATTTAATTTAAAAATTAGTAAATCTATAAATAATATTTTTTTAAACATTTAAAATTATGATACGCAAAAATGTGTATGGCCTTTCTTGACAGGGGCTTACTTGATACACATTGCATGTCATTAACACGCACGTCGTAAGGTTACGACACACGAATGCGTGTCGTCTTCCTTTATGACGAGGCCTTCCTTGATACGCATTGCGTGTTGTAATTGCGCGTTGTAAATGAGCGTCGTAAATGCGTGTTGTCTCTCTTTATGAAAGGGCCTTCCTTGGCGCGCATTTGCACGTCGTCTGTGCCTTTTACGACGCGCAATGAGCATTGTAAAAGGCTGTTTTTTGAGTAGTGGATTGAGGTTTTAATCATCTTTAGTCAAGGATATATATGAATTTTGTGTTGGAATGAATCAACGTAAGGACATTCTATATATGGATCCATTATTTGCGTTCTAAAATTCGATTATGATTACGACATCCCTCTTCATCATCTGAATTATGAGAACTTGGCAAATAGAAATATTGTAGCAAAAGGACTGGTCTAGTATCATGTCCTTATGTGAGACATTATGAATCGTGTCCCATATGCTTCGGATACAGGATCTATTGCATATGCTATAATATTAATCCTTTCTAAAATGTTCCAAATACCTAGGGCATTAATAAGGGAAAAGGTCTAGAATTTGATATGACTAAAATGATTAAGTAATTGTCGAGGACAATCTAAGGTTTACCAAGGACTGGTTGCTCAGGGACAGTTGGAAGTATAATGCTAATTTTGGAAGGGCCATATTGACATATTCTGAAAAGAGGCAACTCTTGTTCAGAAGTGATAATCAAAATGGGAATATGGAAATGTTTCCATAGGTGGAAGTTATTCAATTTGTGTAAGATTAGAAAAACTTAATGCAAGAAGGATGTGTCCATGGAGTTGATCTCCATTGGAACACTCTATAATGTTTGTTAACAAGTCTTTGTGACTTTGTGCATAATCATTACAAGAGGATCAATGTATATAAGTTTAAAATATAACAATGGCATGAATTTGGAATTCTTGAATTTGCGGTAAGGATTTGGGACTGTGAAATGAGAATCACTAGAATTATGTTCAATCGATTTATTTCATAAAATAAAGATCATAGACAAACTTAGTATGCATACTTGGTGTATGGCATAACTAAAGTTTAGACAAACATAGTGTGCATACTTGGTGTATGGCATAACTAATGTTTAGACAAACATAGTGTGCATACTTGGTGTATGGCATGACTAGTGTCTAGAAAACATAGTGTACATGTTTGGAGCATGGGAAAACTATTATTTTAATTCAAGTATAAAGTTGATAGTTTGAAATAGTATGTAATGAATAATGTGTAATCAATATGGTGATAAATAAAAGGTGTTTTATTTATATTCATAAGTTCTGAGACCATATTGGATTCGATTATTATTGTGTTTTACTTTGCATTTTTTGACTTCCAGAACAACTAGGTCGTTCTTCCCGAATGACTAAGTTATTCAAACCATCCACAGTTGGTCATATGTTGGAAGTAGATATGAATCAAGACTATCATGAAGCTAGATTGTAGATGTCCAATGTATGGGACATAGTAAGAGTTGCTACAACATTCATAAGTACTCATAAGTTCTGAGTATTGGATCCAACCCATGCTCATTTGAATCACTACATGGATTTTATCACGAGTGATCATGAGACGATAATATCTTATATTCTTTAAACCTAGAGATATGACTTGTTGCCTATGAGTTGGTTATACATTGATTGCACGAAAACGCATTTGGTAACTTGGTGTTATAAAACGTGCCTTTGTGTATGATTCAACAAGTAGTAGAACAAGCATATGAGTCGACGTTTATCCATTATTTTTACCCTTAAAGGGATAAAATCGATATATGTGGGCCTCTCGATGATTTAGTGATGACACCCCGAAGTGCTTGGCCAAGCCAAGACTGATTTGATTTATTCAATTAGTCGGTCATCATAAATCGGAAATCGAGAAACAACAAATGGCCAGAGAGAATGATTATATCCATGTCTCAGTCCATATGATATCTAGAATGGAGGAATATATGATCCCTTATCTGATGGGCACATCATCGATTTGTTCAAAGTTCGACGACAACAGCTTTTAAGAGCTACGATTGCTAGTCCGGTTTTGAAGTCATATGTAATAATAGTTTTAGACTTATCCAAGTGTGAGACTGTTGGATTAGTGTCTAAGTCCATAACTATATTTTTTATCCAAGTGTGAGACTGTTGGATTAGTGTCTAAGTCCATAACTATATTTTTTATGTACTTGACCCATTTGGCATGGTCCATTTGGGTTGCATGGCATCATGCATTTGGATAGACTAAAATGAGAGAAATAACACTTAAGGTTTATTAATATATTATAAGGTCTAATATATTAATAAGATTATTTAATTACTATTAATCGAGAATTAATTTGTAATTAATCAAGTGATCAAAAGGAGACTAATTAAATATATGTGTTTATTGTGTAAATCATCCATACTTGTATAGTGGGCTAATGCTCCATGGATTATCAAGTTGGGTTAAAACCCATAGGATGCTCCATGGTGTTTTTTTACCCATGGATCATGGAAATGAAAGGCCATGACATTTAGGTTTAGATGGTGTAACCCTAATTGTGACACACTATATAAACATCTTATTCATCAAAAAAAATCGGCCACTATGAAGAATGGTGAGGGCTAGCCGATTTCATGAAGTTTTCATTTCTCTCTAAGTTATTCCAAGTGCATTTGATGTTGTGTGAACCATTTGAGGTGTCACACTTGAGGCACTAGGATCTTAAGCTCCATGGAATCAAGCTACATCAAAAGGTATGTCTTCTAACTTGTATTATTCCTAATGAATCAATGTTTTGTATGCTAGTTAAGATAATACCTTGTAATATTCATATTTACATGTATAATAGAGAAAACATAGATCCAAGGTATTTAGGGTTGCATGTACACTTAGGAGTGTTAGAATGCTCAAAACCCAACGGTTAGGATGGTATTATGTTTAGTGACTTGGTTTAGGTCGGAATCCTGGTATATAGGATGATGCTATGTTAGTGACGGATTAGGTCAGTATCCTGGTTATAGGATGATTTTATGCTATATGATATGTTAGATCGGTTTGTTGCCTATAGAATGTTATGTGACTATCTGATATCGGTTTGTTTGATTGGGATTGCTTGAGGCGGTCCTGGTTTGCGCTAAAGGCTAACATACCCAAGGCGGACAGGATAGACTACAAACCCAAAAGGGTATGCTAGTCAGACCGAAGGCCCGACGAGTGGTTCTGATAGGCTGAAGATTAAGTTACATTTGATTTAGTTATAAGATTAATTATAGGGAAAAATATAAGAACTTATAATTTAGTTATTGACTTTGTGTCAAATTAATTAAAAGACACATAATCCTTAGTTATGTTATATATATATATATATATATATATATATATATATATATATAATTGTAAAATAGTATTTATATGTATAACACCAAAATAAACATTACGTTCTCGCATCTTTCATCCTAATGTGCATTGTTAGTCTTAACATGCTATTGATATAAGTAAATAAATATCGATTATAGGAATCTCATGGAGATTGAGATCAATAATAGTTATATGTAACTTCATATTGTAATTTTCGGCTAGCCCAATTTACATTTTGAAGGAAAATATAGATCCTAACCCTTTTGATTAATACTATTGGGTAATTATAACAAAAGGATTACTTGATCAAACTAATTGATTTTCTTTGTTAATAGATGTCTCGAGGTTCAGGTGCTACTGCTCCTCCTCCAACACCATCCTCTTCATCAAACTTCTTACTACTACAACTCCTCTCGCGAGACAAGCTCATTGGTCTCAATTATCTAGATTGGATTCATAATCTAAGGATCACTTTGATGTACAAAAAGAAGGAGTATGTTCTAGATGGAGAGCTTGTAGAGGAGCTTCCTAATGATGCTACCAAAGAAGGAGCAACCAATCATGAAAAGCATCACTGTCACTCGATTGAAGTCTCCTGCTTAATGTTGGTGACCATATCTCCTGAATTCCTAAAGAGTTTCGAGAATCTTCGGGCGTACAACATGAATGATCAGCTTAAAGAGATGCTTCAAGAGCAAGCTTGCATAGAGAGATTCAAAGTGATGCAATCAATTCTAGGTTGCGAGCAACAGTAGAGTGGTTCTATGAGTACCCAGATATTGAAACTAAAAGGGTATTTTGTCATACTCGATCCTTCAGGATTCCCATTTAATCAAGAGTTGGCTATTGATATCATCCTTAAATCTTTGACTAGTACATACAAGTAGTCGCTATGAACTACAATATGAATGGTTTGGAGAAGAGTATCATGGAGCTACATGGGTGATGTGTGTAAAACCAACTAGTTTTAATACTACTAACTTAGACACAAAATAAACACACGAAAGGCAGTGTACCTATCGATTAGTAATATAGTTCAAGCAAGTAGGGTATCGAACACAGGGAACGGTAAACAATTAAAAAAAAGCTAATATTATCTAAATAAAACAAATAACAAAA